GCCTTCTTTAAAATTCAATGCATATGTAAAGAAATATACGGTAACCCGAATTTACCACACTCGCAAAATCGCACACAGCCAACCATACACCCAGTATGGTATCGCGATTCGTGATTTTGCGCTATCATACTGGGTGTATGGTCGGCTGTGTGCGATTTTGCGAGTGTGGTAAAATCGCATAACAGCAAAATCGCATAACAGCCGAGCATACACCCAGCAGCGCTGCTGATGCCTGAACGGTATGTGGAATGAAGTGGGCGGGCATCGGGAGGCCACTATGGCACGGGGCAAGCACTATGGGCAGTCTATCTGAAGTGTACCTGGCATATAAGACGACCCCCCACATGGAGGCATATTTTTCAGGGCCCAAAAATCGTCTTATACGCCGGCAAATACGGTAACATAGCAATTAACCTTCTCCAAAAGAATATCAAGGCACATACAGCTTAAAAGAAATGAATTTCCACCCAGCTGACATGGCACAGTGGTTGAGAATCAACCTATGAACCAGGAGATTATGGTTCAAGATTCCTGGTCAGGGCACAGGCCTGGGTTGTGGCTCGATTCCCACTGGGAGCGTGCAGGAGGCAGCCAATCAATGATTCTCTCTCATCATTGGTGTTTCTATCTCTCTCTCCTTCTTCTTTCCTCTCTGAACTTAATAAAAAGAAAGAAAAAGAAAAAAATTAATTTCCTCTCTGAATTTTCCATCCTTGTATCCATGTGGTCAATCATTATTCATAAAAATATTAAGAATCAAACTCCTCATAATGAAGATTCATTAAAGTACAGTATTATGAAAAAATATAATCAACTGTCTATCAAAATTTTGATAAGCTACCACCAGTTACATCTCCTGCAACTATTATGCCTGTAATATCACTACCTCTTTGGCCCCACTTTCTAGTTTATTTCTCCTAGTCAGCAAAGATTTGGCAATAAAACAAAAAAAAATGATTTATATGATTAGTTATGGCCGCTTCTGAATATCTAACAAGAAGGTTTAGAAAAGCCATTACTGTTGCTTAGAGGCCACAGCTTCCAAATTTGAGGTTAGAACACTAGAGAAATGGTCTCAACCTTTGAAAAGGAAGAATTGTTTATGAGGTTGCCCTGCATCTGTCATACTTTTATCAACTGATGATAATGAAAATATATAAATTCCATTAACACTTTTTAGTATGCATTTTTACACTAGCACATATATACATATATAAGTGTGAATATACATATATATACATACACACACATACATATACATATATGTGTATTTATAGGTATAGGTAGATATAGATTGTTTTTTAAAGAAAAAATCCATACTCTCTCTAAAGATAATCTTGGTAGACAAATGATTGCAATTCTTAGATGATTTATGGTAAATAATCTACTGACCAGGCAGCTGCATTTTTAATAAACACCTTGAAAACAGTACCATTTGAAAGTACCTGCTCCAAAAAATTGAATTTACTCAGCCTTCATTAAGAGGATTAATGATTATCATCCATTGGCAGACTGGAAAATACTTACTCATTTCTGGGTCCGCAGTGAGATCTGCAGTTACAAAATTAGAGGGAAATAACCCCATGCCTTGATGGGTTTCACCTTTCCACCAGTTGGGATCACTATGAGGAACAAAAAAGAATATTTGACTATAATAAAGATTTTTATTTCTATACAACTTTCCCTTTTATAGTGTTTAATTTACATTACTACCAGATTTGAAACCCACATCAATGCAGTGAAGAATGAAATGAATGTATCATTATCATAAATATGAGATGAGGCCTCAAAGAAAATAAGTTATTAAACACATAGTGCTTTATCTTTTGGAAGGCTGATGAATGCTTAAAGGATTTACTATAAGACACTAAACTCTCCCCTCATAAAAGAGGTCCATGTACTTAAGAATTGTCAAGTTCAGGTGGTTTTAAGGCTCCACTGTAAGAATCCTTTGTAATCTTCTATAATAATCTATAATAATAAAAGCATAATATGCTAATTAGACCAGACGTCCTTCAAGACAAAGCTGGGGCTGTGAGGGAAGCCCGGGTCTTGGGTGTCAGAGGGAAGCCGGTGCCAGCAGCCAGGGGACGGAAGGCCTACTCTTTCACGAATTTCGTGCATTGGGCCTCTAGTCCTATATAATAAAAGGGTAATATGCAAATCAACCGAACAGCAAAACAACCAATCACTATGACGTGCACTGACCACCAGGGGGCAGATGCTCAATGCAGGAGCTGCCCCCTGGTGGTCACTGCACTCCCATAGGGGGAATGCCGCTCAGCCATAAGCAGCAGCACAAAGAATGTCTGTCAGTCAGACATCCTCCAAGGGTTCCCAGACTGCTAAAGGGTGCAGGCCGGGCTGAGGGGGACCCTCCCCCCCACCTTATGCATTGGGCCTCTAGTATGATATATAACAAGATCTTAAGATGTCCATTCTTTTTTTTTTTAAATATATTTATTGATTTTTTACAGAGAGGAAGGGAGAGAGATAGAGAGTTAGAAACATCGATGAGAGAGAGACATCGATCAGCTGCCTCCTGCACATTTCCCACCGGGGATGTGCCCACAACCCAGGTACATGCCCTTGACCGGAATCGAACCTGGGACCTTTCAGTCCGCAGGCCGACGCTCTATCCACTGAGCCAAACCGGTTTCGGCATAAGATGTCCATTCTTGTGCTCTATCTAAAATGTATCAGCAAATTTTTCCCCACAAGAAAACACATATGACAGAGACACTGTTTATAGCATAAAATGTTCACAAGGAACACACTTCAAGGTACATACTGTATCTTTACTGTATCTGTATCTAGTCTAAGAAAAGCTAGCAAGCTCTCAAGTATTTTTGAATAAATGATCAAGGTTTTGTGCAATTTCCAATAAAATAGCTCAAACGTAACTTCATTATTTCCCACTCAAGAAATGACTCCATATAATAAAAGCCTAATATGCTAAGTGTCCAGTCTTCCGGTGAGCCATTCAACCAACTGAAGGGTGATATGCTAAAGCCACTCAACCACTCACTATAACGTGCACTGACCACCAAGGAGCAGTCAACTGATTGACCAGTTACTATGATGTACACTGACTACCAGGGGGCAGAGAGTCAACCGGTCAACCAGTCGCTATGAGGTGCACTGACCACAAGGGGGCAGACGCTCTGACGGGTAGGTTAGCTTGCTGCTGGGGTCCGGCCAATTGGGACTGAGCGAGAAGGGCCAGACATGCCCTGGAGCCCTCCTGCAATCCCTGCCCGGCTGGCCAAACTCCTGCATTCCTCCTCAGCCCCAATCGTGCACCAGTGGGGTCCCTTGGCCTAGCCTGTGCCCTCTCACAATCCAGGAACACTCAGGGGATGTCAGAGAGCCGGTTTTGGCATGGCAGAGACGGTTTTGGCCCGATTCTGCAGGCCTAAGGCTAATATGCCAATCGACCGAACTGTGGAACGACCCATCGCTATGATGCACACTGACCACTAGGGGGCAGATGCTCAATGCAGGAGCTGCCCCATGGTAGTCAGAGGCCAGAAGCCAGGCTCACGGCTGGCGAGTGCAGCGGCAGTACTAGGAGCCTCTCCTGCCTCCACAGCAGTGCTAAGGATGTCTGACAGCTTAGGCCCAATCCCGGTGGGGAGCGGGCCTAAGCCAGCAGTCGGACTTCCTCCAAGGCTCCCAGACTGTGAGAGGGCTCAGGCTAGGCCAGCCGTGGGCAGACTACGGCCTGCGGGCAGGAACCGGCCTGTCTGAAATGAATAAAACTAAAAAAAATGCAGGCCTAAGGCTAATATGCCAATCGACCGAACTGTGGAACGACCCATCGCTATGATGCACACTGACCACTAGGGGGCAGATGCTCAATGCAGGAGCTGCCCCATGGTAGTCAGAGGCCAGAAGCCAGGCTCACGGCTGGCGAGTGCAGCGGCAGTACTAGGAGCCTCTCCTGCCTCCACAGCAGTGCTAAGGATGTCTGACAGCTTAGGCCCAATCCCGGTGGGGAGCGGGCCTAAGCCAGCAGTCGGACTTCCTCCAAGGCTCCCAGACTGTGAGAGGGCTCAGGCTAGGCCAGCCGTGGGCAGACTACGGCCTGCGGGCAGGAACCGGCCTGTCTGAAATGAATAAAACTAAAAAAAAAAAAAAAAAAAAAAAAAAAAAAGACCGTGCCCTTTTCTGTAATGATGTTTACTTTGAATTTATATTAGTTCACACAAACGCTCCATCCATGCTTTTGTTCCGGCCCTCCAGTCCAGTTTAAGAACCCATTGTGGCCCTCGAATCAAAAAGTTTGCCCACTCCTGGGCTAGGCTGTGGGACCCCTGCCCTCCAAGGGCAAGAATTTCATGCACCAGGCCTCTATTATTATAGTATGTACTAGAGGCCCAGCCCACGAAATTTGTGCATGGGTAGGGTCCCTACGCCTGGCCTGTGGTCAGGGCCAATCATCCCTGGCTGCCAGCAGCCAGTCCTGACCCCTGCCGCCGCCACTGGTCGCCTTCTGTGTGTAGGGGCAACTGGCAGGGCAATCGGGGCCCAGTCGCCACCCACATTCGCCACCACCCACCCCCGATTCCCCGTTCCCCATCGGGCGATCGGAGCCTGCTGGCTGGGGGGAGGGACCAAGAGGTTGACCAGCAGGCCCCAATCAGGTGATCAGGGCCTGCAGGCTGAGGCAGCTCCTACGTTGAGCATCTGTCCCCTGGTGGTCAGTGCACATCATAGACGACTAGTTGTTCCGTCCTCCGGTCGATTTGCATATTATGCTTTTATATATATAGATTATAGAAATAACCTTAAATCTATTTGAATTTATTTTTAAAACCACTTATCTGCCAAGTTTAGAACTTCATTATCAATAACAATTTTCATAAACATAAAGCTGTAGTAAGAGACAAATGCATTGAATCACTCCTCCTATGATAATGTAAACGCATATAATTCCATGTAAAATTAATTTGTTCCAAATACACTAAATAGCCCTAACCGGTTTGGCTCAGTGGATAGAGCGTCAGCCTTCAGACTCAAGGGTCCCAGGTTCGATTCCAGTCAAGGGCATATGCCTTGGTTGTGGGCACATCCCCAGTGGGGAGTGTGCAGAAGGCAGCTGATCGATGTTTCTCTCTCATCGATGTTTCTGGCTCTCTATCCCTCTCCTTTCCTCTCTGTAAAAAAATCAATAAAACATATTTTTTTAAAAATACACTAAATAATAAACACACTATATTCTGCATTTATGATAAATTTCATAAATACACATATATTTGGTATTTTTTCTAAAATCTTAACTTTTTTACTAACTTAACAATCTATATTATTAAATGGAACCAAAAATGAATAGATTAAACTAAGCCTTTCCCACAAAAATTAAATCTAGTTAAATATATGAAGAAAAAATTAAACTACAAAATAAGAATCCAGCCATTATATCATAAGCAAAGCAACCATCAGACAAAGAAAATAGCTGGATCAGTATTTTTTAATTGCATTTGGTGATAGCATCCAACAGGAGTAATATGAAACACAAAAGTAACATGTTATATATTTTTCACATGAAAGATCCATCACCTGTCATCAAGAACAGTAATAATTTCTCCAGCTTTAAAAGTAAGTTCATTATCTTCAGCAGCTTCAAAGTCATATATAGCACGAACTTTTCGGCCTTCGTGTTGGTGGTTAGTTAAGAGGTTGGATGTACTTGGATACAAAGTGGAAAGGGTGGTGGACTGCTGTTTTTGTTCCTTCAGGGACAGCTCAATGGCTAGAAAATAATGGGTTTAAGAAGACCCAAAATGTTAACATGTCCAATAATCCAAAGAAGTGTAAAAATATATCTGAATGTAAAAAGTATTCTTCTCTCAGTAGTGTAGCTGGAAACTAGGACAATAAAAATCATTTCATCAATTTTATTCATTCATTCACAACTGCAAGTTCAAAAAAATAACAAAAAAATTGAACAGCATGATGACAATTTTTTACTGAACAAGACAATTAAAATAATTCTGGGTAATTAAAAGACATAAACTTAGATCCATTTTAAAAATTTTAGTTGCAGATATATTTTCTTTTGTCTTTTCAATGTATTCCTATAGCCTAAGTTCCCAAAATGATAAAATCACTTGGGAAATAGTCTCAAGCCTCATTTGGGGACTTACTGATTACTGAGAACCTATATTTTATTGCTCCAAAGATAATTCTTTTATAATGAGTCTAAGAATTGGAATTTAGAAATAACTACAATAAAGTCTCATCTAACAAATTCCCTAAAATAGATTTCAAATGTGTCTCCTCTATCTCCATCCTCCTCTCCCCATGTAGGCCATCACTATGGGATTGATTACCTTGGTTTCAAATCAACCCAAACCCCTTCTTCCTTTCCATCTCTGTTCTAGATCAATAAAAGACCTAATGAGAAAATAAAACTTTAAAACTATCCTAAGAAAATATAGGAAAATGTCTTTTAGGATGTTAGAGTAGGAAAAGAACAACTTAAGACATAAAAAAGCAAAACTAACAGAAAAGCAAAAATTTTGACTACATCAAAATTTAAAATTTGTTTGATAAAACACACATTATCGAAGTTAAAGTATAAGCCGAAAATCAAGAAAAGAATAGATATCTACTATAGATAAAACAGGCAAAAGATTAGCATGCAAAAATAAAGACTTTCTACATATCATTATGTTTTTTAAAAAGAGATTCAATAAAAAAAGAGAAAGTCAGAATGCAAATAAGCATACAAAAAAGGACTCAACCTCAATGGTAGTAAAAGAAATAAAATTTAAAATAATGGGACATCATTTTGAATCTATCATATTCATAAAACTTAAACAGTGACAAGACCAAATGCTGTCAGAAAGGTAAAAATAATAGCTTTCATACACTGATGATGGAAAAGAAAACTATTACCAAAATTGAAGAAATGCCTGCCCCATAAGCCAACACTTCACTATTAGTCACACAAAATACACACACACACACACACACACACACACACACACACACGGGAACACATACAGGTATATTCAATGCAGCATGTTTATTATAGTAAAAATAAAAAACAGAAAACCCAAACGTCCATCAGTAGGAGGATAAATTACAGTATGTATTTATTAGTACACTGGAATATTATATAGCAGTTAAAAAAAAGTAAATTTGATTCATATGTCTAATCATGAATAGATCACAAAACGCTGCATAAAAAGTACAGTTGCAGATAGATGTATACTATTTACAAAAATATTTTATTGGACACAAAAAGTATTTGGTACTGTTTATGGATATTTATGGGTAAATTGTGTAGTAAAAATACTGATCAATAAGACATACATGACAGTTGTGTTGGGAGAGAAGAGGAAGAAGTGATATTGAGGGAAACAAAGTAAATTTCAGCTATTTCTTTTATTTTAAAATATTTCAGGGAAAAAATAATTAAGCAGGCAACCTATCTTTCTCCCCGTATCAGGGACTTAAAAACATACCTTTGGCTAAATCTTCTTCTTCTTTTTTGTTAGTCACTGTACCAGGATCCTTGGCTACCAGAGCTGGGCTTGCTTTTGCTTGTTCTGCAGCCTAACACACACACAAAAAGGAACACAATATTTGAGGGCCGATCTCAAATACTCCTCCCCCACCTAATCTACAAAGGTGCAAGATCCTTCTTGTCAATCTAAAACAAACTTCTGAAGAATAAAGAAATCCAACTGGAGCAGCCTGAAGAGGAGAAGAGTTAGAACTGGAGAAAACAGACTGAGAGCAGCTGGATACTTAGAGCCAATAGCCTAAATAACACCATTGAAGATTTGTATAAAGAGGTTAAACTAAAAGCAGACAGTACACAAACCAAAAGAAAAAAAAACTAGAGATTTAAAAATGTTTAGAAAAATAAAACTGGAAAAGGGGTTGAGAGAGGGAGGAAGGTGACTATTTTAAAAACAGATAGCTTCAAAAATTTTTAAATATGTACTTAAGGATTCTATTGCTTGCTTCCAGATTAAAAGTCAGGATGTTCTCTTTAGGGACCCAGATTTATATATAATAATATAAATGCTCATAAAATTCTACTATTTGGTAAAACAAAATACATGCAGTTAATTCTGGGAATATATTGCTGTCCATCTTAAGTATATTTTGTAAATAAGGTAGTTTACAAGTAAATTAATACATAAATTGATTCACACTTATGGAATTAGAAGCTTCTAAGCCTCAACGGCCTCTTGGTTTTTCCATGACAGTAAAGGCAATTCAGACTCCAGCCTATCCTACCAGTCTTATTTTCAACCATTCTATCAGTGACCAGAAACTGCTAGCCTATATACAGATATATTAAATGTATATAATATATACACACATATGTATATGTATATGTATACTAGAGGCCTAATGCACAAAATTCATGCAAGAGTAGACCTTCCTTCCCCCGGCTGTCGGCACAGGCTTCCCTCCTGTGGGAAACTGATATAGGGTTAAGCCTTGAACTGACCTGTTGGCAAAGTCACAAACAAGTCCTAGCTTAGAGGGCACAATCCTCTTAGCTTAATTAGGCTTGACCTTATAACACTCCCTAGATCTTATCTGGGAATCTAATGGGCTGAGGAAGTGCAGGAAGTATAACCATGGTGTAAACAAGTGAAACTCACAAGAACTGTGTAACTATGGTAACCACTGCCTTGTTTACCGCTCACTATAAAAAGCTTGGTGAGGCCTGAGCACAGTGGAAGTCCTTCCTCTTGAGTTGGACTTGCCGCCTGGTCCCCCAATATTCCCAAATTATCTCGTGTCTTTTCTCTTTCATTTGTTGTGCGGCTCCTCTTCCAGGCCCGAACCCTGAACCACGCAGGACGTGGAGGGAAACACTTACGACACCTCCAGCCCTGCTTCGTCCAGAAGGACTTCTGGTCTAATGAGCATATTACCCTTTTATTATTATAGTCTAGGGGCCCGGTGCACGAAATACGTGCACTGGGTGGGT